ATGATAATATTTACTGAAAATGTCAAAAGCTTTGATGTGGCTTTTACCAATATGCATTTCCTCCAGCTGTGTTTCAGATGTAACATTAATCTGCATTGTTGGTAACATGTGGTACTGCCTGCCTTAATCCTGCCAATCTGATTTGTGGGAAATTGAATCTCTTTGTGGTTATAATTTACATTGTCATGATACCTAACAAAGGTTGGAATATTTTAAAATATAAATGGACCATTTTTTTTCTTCTCTTGTAAAATGCCTGTTCATAATTTTTACTTGTTTATTTGGTCGAGCTTGTTTGTCTTTTAAAAATATATACTATTAATTTATAGTAGTTCTTTATATTCTCTAGTTATTAATCCTTTATAGGTTAAAATTGCTAGAAATATCTTCCAGTGATTTGTGGCATACTCTTTCATTCTTTTTATGGTTAGCAGAAGTTACTTTTTCATGCAGTCTGAAGTTTTGATATTTTCTTTTCTAATTTACAATTATCTACTCTCCTACCCCCAATATCATAAAACACTTGTTTCTTTCTGAAATATTAATATCCTTAATATATCTGATGTTGAGTTTTAGTTATATATTAGTTACAGATTTAATTTATATTTTTATTTATCACTTGTTTGAATACTCCTTTCTTTATTGACTTGCAGTTCAAATTCCACACTTAAGATTTTCATATTTAAGTCGGTCTGTTACTGAGTTCAGTATTTTATTTATTTGCTGTATTTATCAATCTGAATAAATGCCACACTATAATTACTATGGCTTCATAAAAAGTCTTAACCACTGATAGGATAGATTCTTTGTCTGATTCTTCTTCAATAGTGACTTGTCCATTCCTGACTTTCTTACCTGCACTATTTTATAATTGTTTTAACAAATTTTACCCAAAACTCTTATAGTTTTCACTGCAATTGCTTTAAATCTATAAATCAAATTTAATATTCTATCCATAAATATAGTGTTTATTTAAAATTTTTAAACATCTTTCAATATAATTTTTATAATTTTCTATATGAAGATCATTGATATTAATTGGTGAGCATTATTTTTCATGTATGTATCTGACCATAATATAAATACATAATCTAAATCTAAATATAATATATATAAAGTTTATTTTTTTTAGTTTAAAAGTTAATTTTTCTATACTACTTCTTCACAAATCTACATATTTTAACATAAATATATTTAAATAAATGGAAGCTTTTATCCTTACCTAAACAGTGCAATAATTTTACAATTCCTTAATTTTGAGCATCCATTACATGATTATAAATGTTGTATGCAATCAGTATTTATTTAGATTTACTCAAATTTTAACTCATACACATCTTTTCTTGCCATACCTTTTTGCATATTATATTTTATATTTGAGATAAATTCCCTGAGCCCAAAATACATTATTTAAAATTTGCTTTAATGAGAGTCTGCTAGTGGTAAACTCAGTTATTTTTCAGAAAATATTTTTATTTAACCTATGTTCTAAAAGATTTTCAGAGTATAAAAACTCAGATATACCACTATCTTCCTCTCAGTACATTGAAAATATTATCCCACTGTATTCTACTTCTATTCTTGAGGTCAGGATGTCAGCTGTCAGTCTAATTGCCACCTTTTATAGAAAATTATTTTTCTCCAACTTTGTCTTTGCTTTTTGTAATGTCACCATAATGGGTCTAGGGCTTGATTGCTTTATTTTTCCTGTCAGAATATGTTGGGCTTCTGAATTGTAAAATTGTTCTCTCCCAACAGTTCATAAAAATTTGTATTTTGAATATTTCCTTTTCACAATTTCCATGAATATCCTCTCCTAAAACACCAACTAGATATGTTAAAACTTCTCCTTTTATTCTCTATGCCTTTTAATATTGCTTTAATATTTCCCATTTCTTTGCTTTGCTATGTTATAGCCTGGGTAATGACTGGGTTAATATCCCACTTTACAAATAATCTCTTCTGTCTAGTCTTCTTTTCAAACTATTCATTGAATTTGAAATCCTTGGTTTTGTGTGTTCAATTTATAACATTCTATTTGGATACTTTTTCAAATTTGTGTGATCTTTTGAAAAATAGTGTTCTCATATGTTCCTATTTGTGATTTCTCTTTCATATTTTTAAATATTAAGGATCTGAAAGAGTAGCTGTCTGCAGATACTCTGTCATGGGACATCATTTCCTTGGGTGGTTTCATCACTCTTAACTATGAGCTCATGTTCCTCAGAACTTATCTGTGGAAATACTTTCATTCTGGATTGAAGTTGTGTTCCCCTGGAAAAGAACTACTCAGGTGTTGTGAATTTTGATTGTAAAGATACATCCAATTTGTGTTTACAAATACTCAGGGACTATATTTATATTTTTTATCACCCAGTGTCAAGGCCTAGACAGGCAAATTTCTGCAGTTTCTTCTGTGCAATTAGCTTATGTTTTTTAGAATTCTGGCTTCATTTCCTATCAAACTGCCTACCTTGGATTTCTAAACTCTAGGATTTCTCTCTAGTCTACACTGAACATTGTAAAGAAACCCAATATTCATCAATAGTGTATTGGATAAATCAGTTATGATTTATCTGTGCAACATGCCCTACACATCAAATAGAATAAACTATTGCTGGTTGCTACAGCATATATTCATGCTTTCAGACAAAATGTTAAATAAAAGGAATGAAACATAATTCTTTTTTTTTTTTGGAAATGGAGTTTCACTTTTGTCACCTAGGCTGAAGTGCAATGGCACAATCTCGGCTCACCGAAACCTCCGCCTCCTGGGTTCAAGTGATTCTCCTGCCTCAGCCTCCTGAGTAGCTGGGATCACAGGCATGCTCCACCACACCCAGCTAATTTTTGTATTTTTAGTAGAGACAGGATTTCTCCATGTTGGCCAGGCTGGTCCCGAACTCCTGACCTCAGGTGATCCACCCGACTTGGCCTCCCAAAGTGCTGGCATTACAGGTGTGAGCCATCACGCCTGGCCAACATAAAATATTTATAACATGTAATTCTATTTATATGAAGTCTAAAAATAGTAAAACTAATCCACAGTTTTAAAATCAGATTAGTGGTTACACCTTAAGGGCATTCGTGATTGGGATGAGAGTGACTGCTGGAGGACTAGTGTTGTTTCTTGGTCTCTCTGGTATTACACGGGAGTTGTTATGCAGGGGTATGCTCATTTGGTGAAAACTCATTGAACTAAACATCTATTCTTTGCTTTTCTGTATGCATGCTATAGTTTGATAAGAAGTTGGCTAAATTTTTCTTTTGTTCCAAAACTGTTTGTTGTCTAGCCCATTCTTTCTCCATTAATATGAATATTTAACCTGAGAGAGGGGGAGAGACAACCAACATGCCTGCAAAAACAACAAATGGGGCAGTTGCCTGGATGGGCTCCCTCCCGAACACTGGCTCTTAATTCCATAGTATGCCATTGGCATTAGCAACACAGGCTCATATTTGCTTTTCCATGAAGTAATTGCTGCTTCCTGACACATGATGATTAGAGGTGCAAGCATTCTGCGTTGGAATCCAGACTTTGTCATCTACTAGCTAGTTTGGGTTAGATACTAACTTGTTTAAACCTCAGCTGTCTCATTAGCAATTTGGGGATCATCATAGTACCTAAATGAAGGGATTTAAATGAATAATGTGTATAACTCATTCCCACTGCATCTGCATAGTAAACTCTGACAGATTAGATATTATTATTATCATTATTAACCTTTCACTTTTAAAAATTTCTTCTTACATTCTCTGTCCCTAATTTATTTAGAATAGAGCATCATCTATTTTGATTCTCATCTATCCACTTTCCTTATTCTCACCCTCCTTTCCATCATGCTACAGACCAAAGTAGATGGTGGCAGAGTGCCTGGGTACTTTTATGATTTCCAAGAGTGCTCTTAAAAGCTAACATGCAAATTGAAGAGAGGTAATAGCTTGATCTAAAATGAGAGAGAAAGACTTGTGTTCTCACGTATTAGAGCAAAAGCCTTAAAACTTTTCTAGGTACTAGAGAAAAATAAAATAGTCTGCATTTAGACCTGGTGTTAAAGAAAATATTTTTGACAAGGATGGTGAGAAGAAGTCTATCCACTTCACATGCAGGTCTAGCATACAATGTAATTACAAATAACCTCCCACAGGAGTGGCTGCAAAGGTGGCTCTGTGCAATTAGCGGTAATGATGTGTGTTATTTATTACCTGTGTTATTCAATCTTTAGTCTTCAGTTTGTGAACTTCCTTTAGTTATGAAGCTTCATGACTACATAAAAAGAGCTTTGGTGAGGTGGGCATACCAATTTAAAAGTTCTCTTTGTATTATCCGTGTATTGAGTTATATACATAGAATTACACCTATAAGTGAGTATACTAACATATTATAGAGTGATAAAGACTAAAAGAACAAATTTACATAAAGTTCCTAGCACAAAGTAGGTCCTCAAAAAATGATGCATTCTTCTGAGATCAGATGAGAGTGTTGACCTGGAGGTATAAACTGAGAATGGAGAGGAAGAAACATCAGGAACCTACTTCTTCACTCCTTCGAAAATCCTATTTCCTGACCCAGAGGTGGAGAATGGCCTCAAGCTGGAGACAAAAGACTCTGATGTGGTTTTATGCTGGGTTGTGAACCAAATATTCCACTTTACTCAAGATACCATTTCCAAGTCACATACTGTGGTAATTAACGCTGTGTTAGTGACACTTCTATAATGGGTTACAGATTGTTGCTGTGGTGTGTACAAAGCTTATTGGATAAATGTCTTTAGGAAAGGAAACGACATTAGTCTCTTAGTGATCAATAGGATAATAAATTGTGCTTTGTTTCTTTACCTGGATTTCATGTTTATCTTTAGAATAAATGTTAGCTTGCTCACTGCTTCTGTGGTTTCAAGGCTTGCAATGTGGTGAAACACAGAATCTTTTTCTTCACAGTTAGCAAATCCTTAGCTTCTCTGCTGGACAAATAGTCATGTGAGTAGAGAGAACATAAAATCAAAGCAACAAGAAGCTAGGGCAGAGGATTTAGAGGGCAAGCAAGCATGGGCCAGGGCTTTGACAGTATTCATCCAGCAGCATGCGAACTCCAAAGAGAGCCAGATCTCCAAAGAGAAGTATCTGTTTTCTACCCACCAAAAACACCCACATTTTCCCCTCCAAGATGCTCAGGACTCTGTGACATTATTTTGGAGGAACTGTCCCTTTATCATATTGTCAATATTCATAAAATGGCCAGTTTCTGACTACCCAGTACTTAAGAGCAAATACAAGTAACTTTTTAAAATAATAGCAATTAACTATGTTGTCCATTCAGCTCTAACTCAGATGTAATCAGGACTTAAGATTCTGTAAGAGCCCATATGGAAATGTTTGTCATTAGCAAGGGTATAAAAGGAAGAGAGGAGAGTTTTGTTGTTTCTTTTCCTCTTTGCCTTCTTTTATCAGAGTTTCGTTTATTGAAACAATCAGCTTCCTGACATCCTGGAAGATTCAGCCATAAAGAATGGGAAGAAAGGGCCAGACGTGCTGGCTCACGCCTGTAGTCCTAGCACTTTGGGAGGCCGAGGCGGGTGGATCACAAGGTCAGGAGATCGAGACCATCCTGGCTAACACGGTGAAACTCCGTCCCTACTAAAAATACAAAAAATTAGCCAGGTGTGGTGGCAGGTGCCTGTAGTCCCAGATACTTTGGAGGCTGAGGCAAGAGAATGGAGTGAACCCGGGAGGTGGAGCTTACAGTGAACCAAGATCGTGCCACTGCACTCCAGCCTAGGTGGCAGAGCGAGACTCCGTGAAAAAAAAGAATGGGAAGAGAGAATGTAAAATAGACCTTTGTAGCTTTTTCTTTTAATTTTCCTCCCTACTGACCCATTCTGAAAGCAAGAGTTATTTATTACATTCTTTGCCCCGCTTTGGTTAGCTGGCAGAAATAGAAGTTTCTCTCCTTTTCCCTTTCGCCCCCTAGTAAATAAAATCTGTCCAACATTGATTATAAATATAGACAATCATCAACAGATTCTTTGAAATCAAAGTTAAAATTAAACATACTCAGGGGTAGCCAGTAGTCCTCCCAGACGAGAATGTAACATGGAGGCATGGACATTATTTAACAAATATTTATGGTCTTCCTACTATGTGTCAGGCACTCTACTAGCATCTTGAATCAGAATGTAGATATTCAGAAGGAACAATTTCAAACCAGAGAGGAGGACAAATTACAGGATGATTTTAATTTCCCTCACAAATGTTACAAAGAGTATGTCTTTTTAGTAACCGTCCACACAAATGGGTGTGTTGATGAACACGTGCAGATAAGATGTGCATGTCTTTCACTGAGTTGCATTTATATGCCTCGTTATTTCTACATAAATATACCCAGCCTGGCTTTTGTTCATTGCCATTTAGAGTGATGGTTATTAAAGTAAATACAAATGTACAAATAGGAATGCTTTAAAATAATGGTGTAATCATTACTAATTCATTTTATATTTATTGTAGTATTAGTCCTAATGAACCTTCTTGATATTAATGTGGGTGTTACAAGTACTCTAAAATTTTCACTGTGAGTCAGTATTAATTAAATGAATGGTTATTATTACCTGTTTAATGGGCCTAGGAGGGACATTATTTTGGTGTTTATAAAAATCAATAGTAATGCCTTAATAGTAAAAGCTTGTTTTTATTCTTTCATGTTGATTATTGGTACTGCTTAATTAATGTGTGCTTATTGTACAATAATATAGTTAGGCAGATTCCAAGCTCATGATATTCCTGTAAGGTCTTCTTTGCCCACCGAAGACAGGGAAAACCATATTAAAATAGCCCTGAGATGGAGTAAACTTTTTTTGTAACTGTTTGAAATTGATAGCCCATGTGTGGTTTATACAGAATGCTCTCAATTAACCAATTATTAGAACAATCAGCATATTTTCCTGACAGTAAGTTATATGAGGTGATATAAAAGGACTTGAAAACTATAAATTAGCGTTTTCTTCTACTCTGCATTGATAGAACATTTTACAGTATTCGAAGGCCTTTCACAACCATTGTTCTACTCAAATTATTATTATCACAAACATTCTTTTTGGTAAGAAGCAATGTACTTAGTTGTACAGTGAAGGATTCAGTTAAGAAACTAATTTAGAAATCTTGTTTTTGGGGCTGAATCCATATGACTTTAGGCCATCCTAAGTATTAGTGTTATTATTTATAAAAGGATACCAAAAGTGCGTACCTCATAAATTTATGAAGCACTCACTCAGTAACTGGCATGTCCATCACTTCCCATTTGTGTTAACTCCTACAGTTACTATAGACAGTTAGGTGGGGGATGAGTGAAGCTAGAGCAGGTTATGGACCTATCTAAGTAACATGGTTGTTGGTAACAGAAAAGGGACACGATGGCAGAAATGCAGAAGGGAGCAGAATAACGAAGAAAGTGACAAAACTGGCTGCGGAAACAGCTCCCACAGGCACGTAGGCAGTCAGGAACCAGTTGCAGGAGGGCAGACACTGTGATTTCTACAGGATTCCTTCCTTCCCTGCTGGATGGAGAACAGCAGAGAAGGAAGCACACCCTTGGATCTACTGAAGGCTGGAATACTAAAACTCCAGACTACACAATCTACATGGAGTGAGGAGGCTGTGAGCCAAGCTTTCCAAAGGGTACGTCACATGTGGGAATTTACTGCCCAAAGTGGGACTCACTCTTATCAAATTTTATACACCTGAATTAACTAACGATTTGATTTAGTTCATGAGTTAGCATGAAATACTGGAAGTAAAAAGTAATAATTCTTTAACAGTACTTCTCAAACTGTGTTTTGCATAAAATAGGATTACAATAAATGTCAAAATGTATAAGATATATAATTTTAATGACTAGTTTGTAATAAAAAATTATATTAGTCATGAGTATGTGAATATATACCAAAATTACTATTGTAAAATATTAGAGATTAGTTTTTACTTAATATGAAATACCACATGATGTTTTAAATCTGTACATATACATGACTTTCTAGATTTATATATATCTAGAAATATATATGTATATATGCATACACACATATGTGTGTGTAGATATACATCAGTTTCTAGATATAAAATATTTATTATAGCAATATGTATTACTTCAAAAGCAAAAACCAGACTGATAATTATTTAATAGCATATAAAATGCATTTAATAGAATTTTTAAATTAAAATATGAGTTTAAATTTTACCATATTTTGAAAAATTAACCTTTAATTTTTTGGTAAGAAGCAATGTACTTAGTTGTACAGTGAAGGATTCAGTTGAGAAACTAATTTAGAAATCTTCTCTGCTTCCTTCTCTACTGCTCTGCATCCAGCCGGGAAGGAAAGAATCCTGTAGAAATTAATGCATCAAGTATTGTTAAATCTCAATACACATATTAAATAAATACTTCACTAATTTATGTTACTAAGAGTTTCATTACATGGTGACTTACAGTATAATTTAAATTATGGTGCAAATTGAAATATTCTTAATATCTAAGCACGAAGAATCAAAAGTAAAAGTGGGAAATTTCAAATGGAGAGAAAATTGTAGTTGGTATTGGGTTTTTTCATTTTGTTCTGTAGAGAATACAAGATTTACAACTCATTTAATATTAAATAAAAATAAGAACCAGATGCTTATTCATAAATAAAGCCAGTATTTTAAATAGTGATAAATTACATGTAAATTACATGTAATGGTTTGTTCGCTAGAGTAGCAGTGAAGGGTGAATGGTGGAAGAATAAAAGGGTGGGAAAATAGTGCGAAAGCAGAGAGATAGAAATATGAAAGCTATATTGAGGGGCAAAGGAAGTGATGAGAAATGAAGTGTAATTGAAAAGAAGGAAGAAGAAAAAATAAGACATACAGTCATATATTGCTTAATTATGGGGACACATTCTGAGAAATGCATCATTAGGCGATTTTGTAGTTGTGCCGACATCATGGAGTGTACTGACAAACCTTCATGGTACAGGCTACTACACTCCTAGGCTACATGGCATGGCGTATGGCTCCTAGGTTACAAACTGGTATAGCATGTTGCTGTGCTGAATACTGTAGGCAATTGTAACACAATGGGAAGCAAATGTGTACTAAGCATACCTAAACATAGAAAAGGTAAAGTAAAATTAGGATATTGAAGATAAAAATATGGTACACCTGTACAGAGCACTTACTATGAATGGAGCTTGCAGGACTGAGAGTTGCTGTTGGTGAGTGACTGTGAAAGCCTAGGACATAACTATACATTACTGTAGACTTAGTAAACACTATACACTTAGGCAACACTAAATTTATTTTTAAAGACTGGATGTGGTGGCTCATGCCTGTAATCCCAGCACTTTGGAAGGCCGAGGTGAGCAGATCATGAGGTCAAGAAATCAAGACTATCCTGGCCGACATGGTGAAACCCCATCTCTACCAAAAATACAAAAAGTAGCTGGGCGTGGTGGCACGCCTGTAGTCCCAGCTACTAGGGAGGTGAAGGCAAACGAATCTCTTGAACCCAGGAGGTGGAGGTTGCAGTGAACCGAGATCGCGCCACTGCACTCCAGCCTGGAGACAGGCGAAGACTGCGTCTCAAAAAAAAAAAAAAAAAAAAAAAAAAATCAAAAAAATGATCTCTTCAATAATAAATTAACCTTAGCATAACTTTTTAACTTCATAAACTTAAATTTTAAAAAGCTTTTTGACTCTTTTGTAATAACAGCTTAAAACACGCGTTGTACAGCTGCAAATACTTCCATTCTTCATATCCTTATTCTATAAACTTTGTTCTATTTTTAATTGTTTTCTTAAATTTTTAAACTTTCTTGTGTTAAAAGTTAACACTGACACACACATGTTAGAATCAGGATCACCAATATCACTGTCTTCTACCTCCACATCTTGTCCCACTGGAAGGTCTTCAGGGGCAATAACATGCATGGAACTGTCATCTCCGATGATAACAAGGCCTTCTTCTGGAGAAACTCCTGAAGGACCTGCCTGAGGCTCTTTTTGAGGAGGTGTCACTCTTTTCAAAAATACGTCCACGGTGGTTTGCTTGATCTGTTTCTTTTTTTTATCATAGATTTTTGTAATAATGTAT